CCACCACACACACACACACGCACGACACACACACACACACACACACACACACACACACACACACACACACACACACACGCACACACACACACACACACACATACCGACAAGGAGGAGTTTGCGTGCGATGTTGATGGCGATTGCATCAAGGCTGGCACCGAGAAGCACGAGCGCATGGTCCACAACAGGCTGTCTTGCATCATGGCGTGGGTACTGCCTCTCATACTCAGCTTGCAAGCTGGCGAGCGACACATTGATACTCTGACCAATCAGCCCGATGCCTTGGCGTTGACGTTTGAGGTTGACATTGGGAAGTGGAAGCGGTGGTAGAGATGGGATGATGGTGTGAAGAACGGTGCGAGGGTGTGAGGGCGATGAGTCATTCTTGTGTCAGCATGAATGAACACACACATGCACACGCACACGCACGCACACACACACACACACACACACACACACACACACACACACACACACACACACACACACACACACGAACCTGCTGAGAAGTCTGCGAACCGCTGCTGCGCGTGTGTGTCGTGCGGAAAGAGCTTTGAGAGGATCTTGTGGGCGGCGTTGGCTGCAGGCATCCACTCCACCTGCTCATACAGCCGAACCAGCGACCGCAGCAGCAGCAGCACCTGGTCGCAGGGATGGGAGGCGCGGGGTGGCGAAAAGGTGGAAAACAAGAATGTGGGAAAGGGAGAGACGGTCTTGTCCGTCGGTGGGGAGAAGATGGAGACAAGACAAGCGCATGTATAGACACCCAGACCCAGACACAGACACACAGACACACAGACACACACACACAGACACAGACAGACAGACAGGCACACACACACACGCACATGCACAAACACACAACACCTCGGCGCTTTCGTCGAGGAGCCACTGCATGTCCTCTGGTGGGGCGTCTGCGGTCTGTAGGAGTGTGCGGTGCCACGTGTCACTGTCAAGATGCAGCAGCGTTTCCAGCCCGCGCTCCGCAGCCTGCACAGCGGCCTCGGGCTCCCCTGCAAAGAATGAAAAAGATGAGGGAGGATGGCGTTGAGGAAAAGCAGCAAACAACAGCGTGCGCACAAGTTCAACAGTGAATACAGTCACACACCACACCACACACATGCACACGCCTGCTTTGTTTGCGACGTCGATGAGGCGGGTGAGGAAGTGGTAATTGCCTGGGTCGAGTGCGGTGGCGCGAGAGATCCAATCCAGCCCTTCGTCATATTCGCCAAGCATCACAAACACTTCGCCTGGCAAGGAGCAGTGTGTGTGTGTGTGTGTGCGTGTGTGTGTGTGTGTGCGTGCGTGCGTGTAGTGCAATAGGGGAATGTAGTCTTCACAGCCTGACGGATTCCCACACACACACACACACACACACACAGGTTGTTCATACCGATTTGAAACAATGTGTTTGGTTCCACGGGTTCCAGCTCTATGCATTGGTTGAGCTCCAGCACCGCCCTGTGCTGCATTGATTTCTGTCAAAGACGAAGCACAACGCAAAGGTGTCCAACATCGTGCAACTTGATTGGCATGCACTGACTAGCTACAGCAGCAAGGCAATCACAACAGACTGAGGCGTACACCAACGCACACACACACACACACACACACACACACCCTTACACACCCTTACACACACACACACACGCACACACACACCCTTACACACACACACACACACGCACACACGCACGAAACTCACCTGTGCAGCTGCCAGTGCTCTGGCGAGGTGACCTGCGCAGTCTTGTGTGGTGTCGTGCGCAGCGTGCGAGGGCCGCGTTGTGGTGGGCGCAGCAGGTGGCGCTGCCGTCTGGCCTCTGCCTTGCTGCTTACCCTCCATCAGCTCCACCACAAGCGGCCACGCGCTCATCCCAACCAGCACAGCCATCACCGCAAACACCACCGCCCCGCGCACTCCCACCCACCGAGGACTCCCACCACCATCACTGCCACCATCATGAGTAGTCCTGTCAACGTTTCGTCCTTGTTCTTTTTTTGCCATCTTTTCGGTTTACGAAAATTGCTCATGTCACAACGACTTTTCTGCTGGACAACAACCACACGCTCTCCCGTGCATTTTTATTTTTTTTCGACACAACGCGCGCTTTCTCCACGACCACGCAAGACCACCAGAAGACCAACACTGCCTCCTCCACAAGCCATGAGAGGGGCGACGACCACGGCTGTGGTGATGCTGCTGGTGATGCTGCTGGTGGTTGTTTCCATCGTGGCAGCCACGCCTGCAAGCATTTCTAGCATCTCAGCCGCAACTCGCACTGAACCACCCACGCAAGAAGGACAAGACAACCAGGTGGCTAGGTGGCTGTCTGCTCCCGATCTGTATCTGTCCTTCCGTGTTGTGTCCTGTTGTGACTGGAGGGTGTTTTGTGAAGCTGTAAAGTGGTGCATGTGTCTGTGTGTACTTCTGTCTGGTCAAGCGCACACATGCGCCTCCTCTCACACAATCGTCTCCCGGCTTCTCATGGTGTGCCTGCATGCACCCTACACACACACACACACACACACACACACACACACACACACACACACACACACACACACACACACGCCAACGCCTGCTTACTTTCTTTCTTTCTTAGTTGTGCTTGGAGGTACACGGGACACTGGACAGCATGGTGCGCATCCTGAAGGCGTACAGCGTGCCATTCTTCTCTGGACACAGTGATCGCAGTGGCAGCAACAATGACGCAACAACTGCAAATGCAACCAAGGAAGACACGCCACTCACGCCACTCAGTGTTGACCTATCCCCGATTCACCGCATGATGGCTGCACTTGGGTGCGACGATCGCAATGAGGACAGCAGCAAAGACGAACAACTTCAAGAAGAGCACGGGACACCATCCGCTCCACTGTTCACAACTTCCACTCCGCACGTGGAAGAGAGAGTGAATGCCATCCGCAACGCAACGACCAAGCTTCCCCGACTGTTGTGATGTGACTGGTCTGTGTGTGTGTAAGAGTGTTTGACTGGGACTTAGAGTAGGGTCTTGCTGTATACTGTGCGGGAGACGTAGTCGCAAGTAAAGAAGACAGGGTAATAGGATGGGGCGATGAGATAAGTGGAGTGATAAGATAAGTGACAACAATCAAGCAAGGAAAGTAGAGACAGGCACAAGGTCAAGAGAGACGAGCAAGGGGGTCGGATCTTGGGTGTTGGTGTCCTTGGTGAGGAGTGGTAGTTCCGTTCTGTTGTGTGGTTCGGAATCTGTGTTGGTCCTGAACTCTGGGAGGACTATGCCTTGATACCCTTAAGTTCGGCCTTGACACTCCTTCACGACACTTAAGTTCAGGATTTGTATTGTAGTGCTGTCTCACTACACCGACAGCTACAGTGGCAGCACAGGCGAGTGCGAAGGAATGACAATGGTATTGGGCAATGCACGCTGGCAGGCGTGATTGATGGATCATGCTTTGGTGCAGACAACAAAAGAAGGCTCACCATCACTGTTTTTGAGGACGACCATGTGGATGACAGCACCAGTGCAAGAAACCTCAGAATCATTTCTCGCGACGTGCGTCAGCTGACAGTGACCGGACACGTTCAAGAAGCGACGCTGAAATGGATTATCAACAATGGAAGATGGGTTGCGTGCACTCACGTCATAGTTGAAGGCGTCCAGTTTCCAACATTCCAGTTAAGCATGCTCGACGAGCTCAGACTAGGTCTCAACACGATCATCATCCGCAACAGCGAGGTGCTGCGTGAAGTGAACGCAAGCGGCTTTGAGAACGCGCAAAGAATCACGGCATTCCACGTCACCAATTCGTCTTTGAGCGCTGTGCCAGATGTTTCATCTATGAAGGCGCTGGAGACTCTCAACGTGATCCAAAACCGTGTTCGCCAGGTGCGCAAGGGCGTTTTCATGGGGCTGACGGCACTTCAGCGGCTGTTTCTCCACAACAACGCCATCTCTCACATGGAGCCGGGGGCATTTGATGACCTGACTGCTCTGGACAAGCTGATCCTTGCTTTTAACGACATCAGCATCATCCCTTCCGGCTTGTTTCATCAACTCGCAAGTCTCACATTGTTGCAGCTGCAAGTAAATCCAATCACGAAGCTTGACGCCGACGCATTCACTGGGCTAACCATGCTGGATCGCCTTGCGCTGGAGAACGCCCTCCTCACAAGCTTGCCGCCGACACTATTCCGAAGCACAACCCGTCTCACCGCGCTTGGACTGGCCCACAACCGCCTCACGTCTCTGCCCGAGACCATCTTTTCTGGTCTGTCGTCGTTGGATCTCCTGCAACTCTTCACCAACCGAATCACGTCCTTGCCAGGGGCCGTGTTCAACGACTTAGCAGCATTGACAGAATTGTACATTCGGGACAACGCCTTGACGGCATTGCCCGACAATCTCCTTGCGTTCAACACGCGACTCATCAAGTTCTATTGCAACAACAATGTCCTCACGACCGTCCCAACAAGCCTCCTCGCGAACAACCACGAGCTGAAAGAAGTGTCCTTCGCCAACAACGCTCTTCGATCAATCAACAGTGTCCTGACAATGGCATCCTCGTCGTCTCTGCAACTCCTTGACCTCAGCAACAATCCGATCCAGGAGCTGCCCAACGCCACTCTCACCCCTGCACTTGAAACCCTCCGTCTGCAGAACCACGAGATCAGACGCATGGATCTCACTCTACTACTGCAGACACACAACCTCAGTGTTCTCGAGCTTGGGGCAGCGGCGCAAGTGCAGTCTGTGGCAGTGTCGAGCAACATCAACAGTACCAGCATTGCGCCATTGACGACACTTCGCCTTGAAAATGTGGATATCGGCGCAGTGATTCACTCCCTCGAGCGGCTTCCAAACCTGAACCTCGATACGCTGCACATTGGCTGGCCAGGTGCCAGCGAACTGACGCTCGCAATCACCGAGTTGTGCAGACTGTTCGCAAGCAGCGTGCGAGAGCTTCGCATCGCCAACGCAGAATACCAAGTCATCCACCTATGCCCCAACAAGACGTTCGAAACGGTTCTCCTCAACGACAACAGGCATCTTCGGTCTGTCATCGTCGAATCCCCTTTGCAGGAGCTGAATGTGTCGGGTTGCACCCAGCTCACCTCCATTGACGCGCCTCCAATTGAAATTCTCGACATCAGTCACACTCAAGTTCCACCCAAGCATCCGTTGTGCACGCAGTGGGGACGGCGTTTTCTCTTTGCGCGGAACATGGGTGGGGTCGCTGGCACACAAGAAGCCACGATGATGGTCAAAAACTGTTTGGAGCAAGTGGATGTGCTGGATCTTTCAGGAAACGTGTGGCTCAACAGCCCACAAGAGATCAACCCTGTTGTGGAGAGAACGGTTGTCTTGGCAGATGAGGAGTTCACTTTTCCCGACTTTGTCACCCTCCCAAACCGGCCTCTTCCGCCGATTTTTCAACTGACTGGTGCGCCAATTGTTTGCGTGCTGCAGTTCTCCAGCCAGGACCTCCGCCCCCGCAGCGATCCATCCTTGCTGACGACAGAGGTTATGTTCTCCTTCTCCTGTGACTGCGCACAAGGCCATGAGAGGAGCGGTGGTGTGTGCCGGGGGGTTTCGCTCGATGTGACCGTTGTGGCTGCAGGCTCTGTGCTGGGCGGCTTGTTCATCCTCGTCCCTGTTGTCCTGTGGCTCTACCGCCGCTACTGGCGCTCCCACAAGAGCGCAAGCCTTCATCAGCAGCTGCTTGTGGAACGGGATGAGGAAGTAATGGCGCTGAAGAAAGCATGGGAGATTGAGTTCGATGAGCTGAGGATGACCAAGCGTGTTGCTGCGGGTGCGTTTGGTACGGTGTACAAGGCAGAATGGGACACGGTGACGGTGGCAGTGAAAGTGCTGCAGCAAGCGGTCATGGCATTTGACGAGAGCACGGTGCTGGAATTTGAGAAGGAGGTGGAGTTCTTGCAGCGGACAAGGCATCCGCACGTGGTGCGGTTCTTTGGCGCTGGTACTGGTCCAAACGGCAGCCCGTTCCTGGTGCTGGAGTTTGTGGCGATGGGATCACTGAAAGACCTGTTGGGCAAGAACATGGGGCAGGTGTTGGCGGAGGTGAGAGAAGACAGTGAGGGCGGGAGTGACACGGATCCGGAGGTGATGATAGCTGACGTGGGCGATGAGCTGACATTGGTCAACACGCCTGCTAACGGCGGCAAGGCGGCAAGCAGCGAGCTCACGGTTTGGGGCTTGAAGCTGCGGCTGCTCCGCGACGTTGCAAGTGGCATGGCTTTTATCCACAGCCTCGACCAGATGCACCGGTGTGTGGGGTCGTATGTATTTCTATTTATTTGTGAGTGAGTGTGTGTGTGTGAGTGTGTGAGTGAGTGAGTGAGTGTGTGTGTGTGTGTGTGTGTGTGTGAGTGAGTGACTGAGTGAGTCTGCAGGCACGTGTTTCTTGCTCACTGCTCACTGTACCATCCTATCCTTAAACCAATGTCGCCGTCATCATTTCAACAGAGATCTGAAGAGTGGAAATGTGCTGGTGTCGGCTCGGTTGCGTGCCAAGATTACGGACTTCGGATCCATTCGCCAGTGCTTCACGCGTGGTGGTGGCAGTAGCAGAACACAAACCGCCCACAATCGTTTGTCATCCAGTTATGACGATGATCCGGAGTACAGCCAGCAAGCTGGACTGCAGACGATGACGAGCATGACGCTGACGGCTGGTGTGGGCACGCCGCTGTACATGGCACCCGAGGCACTGACGGGCGACAAATACAGCTTTGAGGCTGACATCTTCAGCTTTGGCGTGCTGATGTGGGAGGTGGCGACGCAGCGTGTGCCTGATTTGATTGAGCAGGAAAAGGGGAGCGGGTATCGGGGACCGATCCTCGCCACACTCTTCAACCTGATGGCAGATGGGAAACGGCTCACGTTTGAAGATGATGAACAAGATGGTGAGTTGTCTTGTGCATGCGTATGTATGTGGCGTGTTCGTGTGCGTGTGTGCTTGGATTACTTGCTTGAGCATCCTTCTCTCATCACACATATAATCACACAATCACACACACATACACCCAAACACAAACACACTCATCCATAGCCATTCCCGAGTGGTTCCAGTCGCTGACGTACAAGTGCATGGCGCAGAACGCGCGTGAACGCCCATCCTTTGGAGAGCTCAAGGATCACCACCTTGCATGATTGCACGTTGTGCAAGTGTGCCTGTCAGTGTGTGTGTGTGTGCCTGCCAGTGTGTGTGTGTGTGCATGCGTGTCTGTTTTTGATTCCTGCATTACGTTCATGGTAGTCGTTTCTTCATCCGCCGTTGATCAAGATCATTGCCATCGTCCAGTCGTCCTTCGTCGTCGTCCACGCCATCAGCGCCATGTTGTTCTTCCTCTGTTCTTGTTCCACTTTGTTGTGTCCTCGTTCTTGCCGTGTTCTTTGTCGTTTTCATCGTCATTCTTAACCGTGAGATATGGCCCGTTCGTGTAGTTCCGTTTTCTCATTGACATTCAGCGAGACTGCGAGAGGTTTAGAGAGGTTCCATTGTTCCAAGAGAGGGAGAGAGAGAGAGAGTCGTGAAAGTGAAACGATCGAGATTAGCCGATTAGCCAGAGACAGAACTGAGCGCTTAAGTGCTCCCTGTGGTTTTCCAACAACGAGACATGTGTAGTGCGTGTGCGTTTGAGCTGTTGAGGTTGGCCGAGGAAAGGAGGAACGAAGGAACGAAGGAAGAGCTAAAGAGCTAATGAGCACTTGCTTGACTTAATGCAAGCCTTCAAGAGTTCTAGAGTTCAAGCGAGAGCGCTCTTCTTGCCTTCTTGCAACACCGCCACACCACAACTTGCTTCCAGAAAAACGGGCAAAGTCCGGAATAGTTGCGATATCTTCAACCACTTATCCGATCAACCACCTCGCTGACAAACAACACAGGTTGCTTCGCTTGCTTGTTGCTTGCTGCTTGTTGCTTGGAGTTGTGTTGTTGCTCGACGTTTGTGTTGTTGCTCGTCGCCGCGGCTCAGCAGTGTAGCAGCATCACTGGCTCTTCGCGCTGGCGCGTGAGACACTGCAACACCCGTCATGAGCGCTCTCCGAGACGCAGCCACAAAGGTGCGTGTGCTTGTGTGCATGCTTGTGTGCATGCCATGTTTGTTTGTGTCCACACATACACGCGTGCATGCCGTGTGTCTGCCTCTGCAAGCATGCTTGTGCGTGTGTGTGTGCCGCGCTGTTGTGTTTTTGAGTTCATGTGTATGCTGCGGCCACTCTTTTCTTGCCCAATAACGAACTTGTGCGTGCGTTGTGGTGCAGTTGTCTCGTTGTGCGGTGGCGCTGACCCGCGCTGTGGCCGTTGTTCAGCCACAAAGGGCTCTTCTTCATTCGCGTGCGCGGACACAGCATGCTCAGCGCCTGTGGGGAGCAGCGGCTGAGGCCACCGTAGCTACCGGCCGTCACAGCTTGCAGGCGCCATTTGCGCCCTTGGCCAGCCGCTTTGGTCGCTTCTACGGTCATGCACAACAGCAGCAGCATGCGTCCGCCACCTTTGTCCGCATGTACAGCGCCGCTGCAGGCGGTGGTGGTGGCAGTGACGACGGAGATGGAGGTGATGGTGATGATGGCGAGGCGAGGAAGAAGACTGGCGTTCAGGAGGAAGGTGAGGACGAGGATGGCGATGAGGAGGACAAGGCGTCCAAGGCGACCCGTGGCCGCAAGTGGCACCGCAAGAGCAGCAAAGGGAAATCGAGCAAACGCGACGACAACGACGAGGAGTTTTCCCACGTGGAGGACCAAGTCCGCAGGGATGCACGTGCGTTTGTGTGTGTGTGTTTGTGTGTGTGTGTGTGTGTGTGTGTGTGTGTGTGTGTGTGTGTGTGTGTGTGTGTGTGTGTGTGTGTGTGTGTGTGTGTGTGTGTGTGTGTTTGTGTCTGTTTGTGTGTTTGTGTGTTTGTGGGTGTCTGGTTGTGTGTGTGTATTTTCACGTGCGTTATCGTGTGTGCAGATGTGCACACCCGTTCACGTGTACCGAAGTCCCACGTGCGAAGACACCAGGCACACACTCGTTCGCACTGCACTGCGCTGCACTGCGCTGCCACACGCAACAACTCATTCCTTGCTCCCTTTTCCCATCCATGCTCTCCCTCCTCACCTTTGTGTTCGTATGCCCGCCAGATGACGGCCGTGTTGGCACGGGCCACGCGGACGATGATGAGGTGGTCATTGCGCACCATCGCAAGCGCGGTTCCGATAAGCAAGGCCTCCTCGGGCCCCCTGTCGTTCCAAAATCAGTCAAGGAGGTACAATGCGTGCGTGTGCATGTTGTTTGTGTACGTATGTTGTGTGTGGTGGATGCATACGACGGACGCTTGTGTGCGTGTGTGTGTGTGTGTGTGTGTGTATCGAGGAAGGTTTTGAATATTTCTGCGTGCATGAAGCACGCGTTGTTTAATTGCGTGCGTGTGATGCCTCACACCACACATCACATCTGGCAGGCGTTTGTACTTCCCCTCCACGACCGGCCCATTCTCCCAAACACCGTTCGCATTCTTGAGGTATTTATGTGCGCACGTGTTCATATGTGGCATCCGCGTGCCGTCTCGCTGCGCTGGAATCCGTTCCGCTTGTCTTTTCTTGCTGTTTTAACACATGCTCTCCCATCGCACCTTCCAACTTTTCACACCTTCTGCCCCCTAACCCCAACCAACCAACCAACCAACCACCATCTCCCACAATCCTCACACCAACCAACCTACTACCACCCCCTTTCTCACACCAACCAACCAATCATCATCCTCATCCTCACACTCTTCAGATTGATGACGAGCGTGTGATTGATCAGATCTCGCACCTCATTCGCATCCGCCAGCCGTTTGTCGGAACCTTCCTCCGCTCTGACGACAAGTACGTTCGAAGCGGGTGGTTGTGGACTTATGATGCATGTGGCATGTGCCGTGTCTCTCATTGGAACGAACGCTGCGCCAGTGCTCGCCAAACTTGCACCCAAACACACACACACACACCCACACACATACGCACACACACACACACACATACGCACACACATACACACACACACACACCCTCTAACTCACATATGCACGCGCATACACACACACACACACATTCACCACCAACCCTTCTACCCCCCTACACCCCTCTCAGGGAGGAGATTGTCGACACGATTGAGAACTTGGGCGAAGTGGAGACTGTGGGCACGCTCGTGTCCATCACGGACTCGCGCGTGCTCTCAAACGGCCGTTGTCATCTCTTCGTACAGGGCCACTACCCGTACGTCGATGCGGAAGGATGCAAAGGGCGTTGCGTTGTATGCCTTTGTGTGTGTGTGTGTGTGTGTGTGTGTGAGTGACCGTTGTCCCGTGAGATTCTCTCGTCCTGCTCCTGCTCCTCCTCCTCCTCACCACCACCACCACCACCACCACCACCACCACCACCACCACCACCGCCACCACATCCATTGCCACACCATCACCCTCTCCACAATTTAGCATCAAGATCACCAGCACTGTTCCTGTGAGCGACGACGACGATGAAGGTCTTGGCGATGTGCATGACGGACACGAAGACCCCAAAGACGACAGGGAGGACCACGAGGAGGACTCGAAGGAGGACGTGAAGGAGGACTCGAAGGAGGACAGCGGCGATGGCGAGCGTGACAGCGCAGATGTTGTTGGTGACAGTTTCACCGCGTCGCCGTGGCGCGGCAGCAGTGCTGGTGGTGATGGCGATGGCCACGGCCGTCACGATGGTGATGAGATGCACCCCCTGCTCAAGGCGAAGGTGACGACGCTGAAGATGCAGGAGTACGATCCACAGAACCTCCGCCTCAAGGTGCGATGCTTGTGCCGGCAGATGAGGAGATTGTTGGGACAGTGGCTGTGTTGGTTTCAGTGTCCTGTTGCTGTGATGGTGATGATTGGTCCAGTTTTGGTTGCACGCGAGGATTGAAAAAAAAAAAAAAGAAAAGGTGGCCGGAGGTTGTGAGTATTTTGTTTTTTGCTTTTTGTTTCCGTCATTATCGACACCACACACTTATATTCCGCACCGCTCGCACGTCTCCATGACCAATTTCATGCTTGTTTCCCGCTTGCGTGCTTGCAGGCACTCGCTGCCGAGGTGGTGACGTCACTCCGGGACATTGTGACGTCAAACAGCATGCTGCGCGACTCTGTGCTGGCAGCAATGGAAAACAGGCTTCGGCTGGACGACTACAACCAGCTGTGCAACCTGGCTATTGCGGCAACATCGGCCGACCCGCACGAGATGCAACAAGTCCTCGCGGAGCTCCACATGGAGGTGAGCACCATTCGTGAAGGAAGGGGGCAGGGGCAGAGGTTCGTTGTGTGTGTGTGTGTGTGTGTGTTTGCGCTTGACCGTGTTTGTGGTTCGATGGCAAGTCAACTCAAAGTGCTGTTCTGTTCTCGTTCATCCCGGCCACGTCTCTCCTGGCCATCACCAACATCACCAATACCATCACGAACATCACCATTACCGCCATCGACGCTGCCAGTCCAAGTTGATGCTGACGCTGGAGATTTTGAAGCGGGAGCTCCTCAACATGAAACTTCAGGGCGAAATCCGGCAGCAAGTCGAGACAAAGGTAACGGCAAAGTCCCAAATGCACACACACACACACTCACACTCACACTCACCTCACACACACACACACACACACACACATACACACACACATACACTCACACTCACACTCACACTCACACACACCACAACGCTGCACCACAACCCCGCACCACGCTGTTCACACTCACACTCACACTCACACACACCACAACGCTGCACCACAACCCCGCACCACGCTGTTCACTCTCCAGGTGAACGAGCAGCGGCGCAAACATCTCCTCCACGAACAGCTGCAGGCCATCAAGAAGGAACTCGGTACGACACTGAGGCCGATGGTGGTGGTGATGGTAGTGGCTGCTGCGCTTGTTGTGATCACTGCGATGATGGTTGTGCATGTGATCTGCGACGATCCCACCATGTATTTGAACACCAATTTCTCCATGCACACATCATCACCTTCCCTCGTCCCCTCACTTCAATGTATTCTTGTGCGTGCGCGCGCGTGTCCCATGCGTCACATCAGGCATCACGAAGGACGAGACGGCGACGCTGATTGACAAGTTCAAGGCCGCACTCGAGGGCCTCACCGTCCCGGAGAGGGTGAGTATTGCCATGGCGGCAGTGGTCGGTGGTTGCTTGGTGTTGAGAGGTGGATTTTGATTGATCATTTTATGTGTATGTGAAGATGCATCTTGTTGTGCTCGTTGTTGTTGTTGTTGTTGTTGTTGTTGTTGTGTGTGTGTGTGTGTGTGTGTGTGTGTGTGTGTGTTCTCACGCCGTCACCACCCACGTGTCCCCACCAACCACCACCAACCCACCACCAACCACCTCCCAGGCGAATGAGGTGATTGAGGAGGAGATGCAGAAACTGTCCAACCTCGACCCCCAATCGTCCGAGTACCAGGTCCAGCCGCCGTTCTCGCTTGCCTGTGTGGTGTGGTGTGTCGTGTGTCGTGTGATTTGGTCTGTTGGTCTGTTGTGATTGCGTGCGAGCACGCACCCGTGGTCCCATGCTTGAATTACACCACTCTTGCTTCTTGTTCACCCTTCACAACCTGCCTCAACTCAACCCCCCCCCCCCCCTCGACGCCACCACCACCACACCTGTCAGGTCACGCGCAACTATCTCGAGTGGCTGACGTGCATTCCTTGGGGCCGCACGTCCGAGGAAGTGTTTGACGTGGGGCGTGGCCTTGACATTCTAAATGAGGAACATTACGGCATGACAGACGTCAAGGATCGCATTTTGGAGTTTATCGCAGTCAGCCAGCTCAAGGGCTGCTCGCACGTGCGTGGGTCATCGTGTGTGATTGTGTGTGTGATTGTGTGTGTGATGTGTGTGTGTGTGTGTGTGTGTGTGTGTGTGTGTGTGTGTGTGTGTGTGTGTGTGATTGTGTGTGATTGTGTGATTGTGTGATTGTGTGTGTGTGTGTGCATGCATGCGTGCGTGTGTTTTTTTTTTCTTGCTCCTGATACGCTTACTTACCTCCAGTCTCCATCGCTGCTGCTTTTGGTTCTGCCAACAGGGCAAGATCCTGACGTTTGTCGGCCCTCCAGGTGTTGGCAAAACCTCCATTGCCAAATCCATCGCAAAGGCTCTCAACAGGTGCGCTGCTTGAAGTGTGCGCGTGCACGCGAGCGTTGGCTCTCGCATGTGCACAAGTGCACACCAACATTGCACCCCACGAATCCCCTTCTGCACACACACACACACACACACACACACACACACACACACACACACACACACACACACGAACACACACACACACGAACACACACACACGAACACACACACACACGAACACACACACACACACTTACACACACACATATATGTGCAACGACAGGGAGTACTACCGGTTCTCTGTTGGCGGCATGAACGACGTGGCGGAGATCAAGGGCCACCGCCGCACATATGTTGGCGCCATCCCAGGTGAGCATGCTGCCACTGCACTGCCGTCGTCGCCGTCATGAGGATGGGGGATGGTGGTGATGATGGTGGTGGTGGTGGTGGTGGTGGTCATGATGATGATGATGATGATGATGATGATGATGATGAGCGTGAATCATCGGCGCATCTGTCTGACGACAAGTTCGATGGCGATACTGTTGCTCATCGCCTGTCGTCACGTGGGCTGTTGTTGCCTGCAGGCAAACCGATTCAGTGCTTGAAGGTGACCAAGACGTGCAACCCTCTCATTCTGATTGACGAAGTTGACAAGATTGGCTTTGGCCGTCTCGGTGAGTATCTTGTGAACACGATCCTCAACTGCGGATGATCTCGAGGGGGCTGCATGCGAACAAGCATCATTCTGAACACACATGTCTCTGTAGCACTCACACGCACACGCACACGCACACGCACACACACACACACACATCACACCACACACACACACACACACGCACACGCACGCACATACACACGCACACGCACGCACACACACCCACACACACACACAACGCACACACAACGCACACACACACAACGCACACACACCCCGTGTCCAGGCGACCCTTCGCCTGCGCTGCTTGAGCTGTTGGATCCGGAACAGAATTCCGGATTCCTGGACCACTACCTGGACGTCCCCGTCGACTTTTCCAAAGTGCTCTTCGTGTGCACCGCCAATGTGCTGGACACTATCCCGGGCCCGCTCAAGGACAGAATGGAGGTGTGGCGTGTTGTTGTCGTGGTGGTGGTGGTGGTCGTCGTCGTCGTGGTGGTGGTGGTGATGGTGATGGTGGTGGTGGTGATGGTGGTGGTGGTGGTGGTGGTGGTGGTGGTGGTGGTGGTGGTGGTGGTGGTGGTGGTGGTGGTGGTGGTGGTGAATCTAGCTGAAGGTGTAGTTTTATGAGCTTTCAGTGGTTTGTTGTGGTCTGTAGTCGGAGTGGTGGCGTTGGGTGGTTGCCGCAACAGTGTGTACATGCATGTGTAACTGCATGCTTGCATCCTTGCGTCTCTGAACCACGCAACCTTCACATCGTCACCCCAACACCACCTTGCCCACACGTTACAGATCATTGAGCTCTCCGGGTACATGCTGCACGAGAAGGTGAAGATTGCCGAGGACTTCCTGATCCCGCAAGCGCGCGAGGCAACTGGTGTTGATGGCCAGCACCTGCACATCACAGCAGAGGCCCTGCAGGCCCTCATTTCGGGCTACTGCCGTGAGAGCGGCGTCCGCAGTCTCAGGAAGCAGATTGAGAAGGTGCGTCGTGGTGTTTGTGTATGTGTGCGTGTGTGTGCGTGTGTGCGTGTGTGGCGCGTGCTTGGGCCAATGCTGGGCGTCACTCGCTTGCTTGATGCTTCGCTTATTCCTTCACCAATGTCATCTTTGGTTTCAGATCCACCGCAAGGCTGCGCTCAAGATTGTGCGCGGCGAGACGAAGGACGGGGTACGCCGCATGCAACTCCACTTGCACGTGCTGTTGCCTGCAGGCATTCGCTGACGCTGTTCATGGTGTCGTAAAATTTATTTGTGGCTTGCTCACACACACACACACACACCCACGACACCCACCCACGACACACACACACACACACACACACACACACACGCACACACACACACACACACCACCTACACACATGCGCACACCACCTACACACATGCGCACAGGTTGTGAATGTTGAGGCGGACAATCTGAAGGAGTTTGTTGGCCTTCCGCTGTTCACGAGTGACCGCATGTACGACACGACACCACCGGGCGTCGTCATGGGTCTGGCGTGGACCGCAATGGGTACGGTGGTGGTGTTGCTCTTTGGGGTTGTTTAAGTTGTTGTTTAAGTTGTTGTTGCTTTAGTTGTTGTTTAAGTTGTTGCTTAAGTTGTTGTTTAAGTTGTTGTTGTTGTTTAAGTTGTTGTTGTTGTCGTCGTCGTTATATCTTGACGACCGCGGTGCTGTTGGCAGTGTTGTTCGTGACAAGTGACAGCGCTCCCCCTGACAATGTTTGAATGCCTGTCCATCCGACATTTTCTCCACTTCACCACAACTGCAGGTGGCAGCACGCTGTACATTGAGACGGTTGCCACGTCACTTTCCAAGCAAGGCGACAGCGACAACACTTCAGGGTCCCTCAAGCTCACAGGTGAGACACAATACGTGTGTGCGTGTGTGCGTATGCGCGCGTTTGTGTGCGGGTTTCAGTTAACACCATTGTCTTGGCGTTCTTGTTTTTCCACAGCTGTCACACCACGCCTCTTTGCCAACCCGGACACCTCATATGTTATCTTCACGCTTGTCAGGGTCCCTGGGCGATGTGATGAAGGAGAGCGCAACAATTGCCTACACGTTCGCAAAGCACTACGTCGAGCAAGTTGACAGCAGCAACACCTACCTCAAGACAGCAGACATCAAGTGAGGCTATGTAACGTGCGCGCACACGCGTGTGTGTATATGTAGTGCGTGGCCGGGCGTACACGCTGTTCTGTTCATCCCCCTTATTCCCGTCCACGCATACTAGCAGCTCACAATCTCACCACACACACACACACAACACACTGAACACACATAACACAACACACACACACACACACACACACACACACACACACACACACACACACACACACACACACACACACACACACACACACACACACACACACACACGCACGCACAGCCTGCATGTCCCTGAGGGGGCGACACCAAAGGACGGGCCGAGCGCAGGCTGCACAATGGTCACCGCATTCCTGTCCCTCGCCCTCAATAAACCTGTCAGGCAGGATTTCGCCATGACGGGCGAGGTCTCGCTCACGGGCAAGGTGAGCACATGCTGCCATCGTTGCTGTTCGGAGGGTTGGTTGGTTGGTTGGTTGTCTTTGGTTGTTGGCGGGCCATGGCTGCGAATTGCGTTTTGTGCCCTCGCCCCCTTTGTTGTCCAAACACAAACACACACACTCTGACACACACTGACACACACTGACACACACTGACACACACACACACACACACACACACACACACACACACACACACACACACACACACACACACACACACACACACACACACAGGTGCTGAAGGTTGGCGGGATCAAGGAGAAGCTGCTGGCTGCGCGACGTGAGGGCGTGCAGTGCGTTGTCCTGCCGGAGGGAAACAGACCAGATTTTGAAGACCTGCCAGACGCAGTGAAGGAGGGCTTGGAGGTGCGTTGCCTTTGTGTGTGTACTTGTGTGTTTGTGCCAGTGTGTGTGTGTGTGTGTGTTTATGCTTGAATGTGTGCGTGTTTGTGCGTCATGCTGACTGTCTTTGTCTCCCTTGCCACTTGCATCGTTTTGTCTCCTGCTCACACACACACACACACACACACACACACACACACACACACACACACACTTTCAGGTCCACTTTGCGCGGACGTATGATGACGTGTACAAGATTGCATTCCCATGAACGAGCACCACCAGCACAGCACACTTTTGCCAGGCCATGCACCATGTTTGCCGTGTTTCTGTGGCGGCGTTCCAACAATTAAAGAAGATGACATCGTGTCATGCAACGAACATCCTGATGGCTGTTGTTGCCAAACGGAAGTTATTGTGCACCACAGCAGGCACGGAGCGAACACACCTCACGACAACACACACACACACACACACACACACACACACACACACAACCACAACCCAGTACTGCGTGTATTTATTTGAACGTGCTTGCAAACGAATTGGTTGAAGTCTGAAGCGAGCCATCGTCTATGAATCGAGTGTAACAGATAGCAACAAGCATGAAATGTAAAAACAACATCAATTCACATCTCGTAGAAACACGTAAACCTGCATCACCACCCCCTCACATCTCAAACGTTCTCCCACGCACTTCTCCCCTGCAAACACACACACACACACACACACACACACACACACACACACACACACACACACACACACACACACACACACACACACACACACACACACACACACACACACATTCACTCACGCATCCAACTCAATCAACAACTGCTGTCCTTCCTCCATCCCTGCATGTTCCCCGTCCCTCTTTCCCATTGTCACCATCACTCATTCCTGAGTGCCGGGTTGTATCTTGGGTCATCGAGCTGGCTCGTCATGAGCTCCTTGTTGAGCAGCGATCCCGACCACTGCCGCAGTGCCGTGGGCAGGCGATAGATCTCAAGCAGCAGCATCGATAAATGTTCTTCAACCTCCAGCTTCTGGTGCTCGCGTGCAAGGAAGATGGCGTGGCACAGCCCTTGCAGTGCATCCACTGTTGGCATTTCCGTAAACGCAATCTGCGTGTGCACCCCCTTCATGCCCGTGCGGACCAGACGTCCGATCACGAGCACAACGGACACATACAAACCGACAATGCCAAAGCCCGCCAGGAACTCAAGCACACCCACGAGCTGGCGTTTGCTGAACACGGTCACACGCGGTGGTGTCACCGTGCCGTTCGTCTGTGTGTGTGTGCATGTGTGCAAGTGATGTGAGGGTGTGTGCATGTGTGCAAGTGATGTGAGGGTGCGTGTATGATTGTGAGTGAGTGTAAGTGTGAGTGGATGTAAGTGTGAGTGAATGTAAGTGAGTGCGTTTGTGTGTTTGTGTTCACGAGTCATGAACAGACGTCACGCCGATACAAAAAGCACAGCACTTCCAGCAAAACTAACCACCCCTGTTCCCCCTGTCCCCCCCCCACCACACACACTCACTCACCAGGGTGACCTCGGCGCCCCAGTATGTCTGGCCCGTGGAAGCGGCTGTGCTGAGGAGCGTGAGCGTGAGGTTGAGCCGCTGCTGCAGTTCAGAGGGCACCCCATCCTCGGATATGGTGCGGTCGGCAAAGTTGACCACAACATACGACGGAAACGCAGCCGGGACCACAACGCTGTTGCCGGCACCAGTGGCGTTTGTCAGCACATTCACGAGCGCCTGTGTCGTTTCCATGGTCAGCCGCGTCGTGAGCACGCTGCGCGTGTCCATCTTGGGCGGGGATGACCCTTGCTTTCGTGCTGTCATCCCCAGATACAGCCGCCCCGGCTTCCCGGCTGCCAACTGCGCCTGCAGCGATGCGCTCACGACGTCTGCTTCAACCGAAAGCTGCTCACTCTCGCTCGCAAACACCACGTGCTGTATGTCGCCCTCGTCCGGGAAATCAGACACAAACCCGCGCACAGCTGGCGAGGCCGACAACTGCGCGTCCACGTAATCTGGCAGCGGTGCGTCTGCAATCACGGGGGCGTGGCGGGTGTACAGGTCCGGTGTGCCCAGCGGTGCAAAGGACAGCTGCAGCTCCGCTGGCGGCGTGGACGTGGTGGAGTTGGCAAAGATGGCGAGCAGGATCAGCGGCAGCCAAATCACAAGCAGCAGGCCGAGGGAGAACAGGAAGCCAACAAGACACTTCTGCGCAAAGATTTGCCGCTTGCCAAACCCGCCCCGCTTCACCCAGAACTTGAGCCGGCGGCCGAGAAAGAACTTGTTGTTGTACAGCTGCAGATACAGGTCATCAATCTGAACCCATCGCCGGAACTCAACCGTCGTCGGCGTGTATGTCCAGTCCAGAATCACGCGCAGCTCGTGCAAGAAGGGGATGGCGCGGTAGATGACGAAGAACACGTATCCGACCGAGTTGGCGTGGCGGGTGAGCGCGTTGCCGAGAACAACGTGCGGGTACCCAAACTTGAGCTGCAGCGCAGAGGCGAAGAGGTACACGCACTGCAACAGATAAATGGCAATGACGATTCCGTTGTCGGAGAAGGCGCGGTCCGTCGTCAGCGGCAGCACAACAAAGATGTACACGTGCACCACAAGGAACCAGAAGATGTGCAGGCACAGTTTTGCCATGTTCTTCTTCGTCAGGTAGAAGATGCGGTCCAGCACAATCACCACAAACTGCGTGAGAAGCGTGAGCAGGAGCTGGTACGGGATCTGGTTCTCCGTCACCACGGAGCTTGCTGATGCTGAGCGTGCGTCCCTCGCTTGGAAGGCGTTCCACCCACCAGCCGTCAGCAACAGCGCAATCAGCGAGGTGCTGAAGTGGACAATGTAAAAGTCGTGCGAGGCCCTGCCCTCTGCATACAGCAGCTTGTGGAAGAAGTGTTGGATGCGTTGAAATGTTGACCGCGCAGCCCGGGCGTTGATGCGCTTGTTCACCTGCAGTTCCAAATTCGACAGTTCATCGTTCAACCGCTGTCGCCGCAGCTGCTTCCGCTCACCCCGCGTGCGTGCATGAGGGCCGTTGGCGTCGTCAACATCATTGTTGTCGTTGTTGTTGTCATCATCATCATCACGGTCTTCGTCACCATCGTCGTTCCCCCGACCGTCGTGGCTGCTGTCATCGCTGTAGTCGTCGTCATCATCGTCGTAATCACCATCATCATCATCATCATCATCATCATCATCATGGTCTGGACGGTTCGTGATGCCGCCGTCTGCTTCGCTGTCATGATGGGGTGCGGTGGTGTCACTGTGGCCGTGTCGGCGGCGGTGGCGGCGTTGCGGACGGGGGTCGCTGCGAGGACGTTCGTGTCCATGTTGTTGATGCGGCGCGGCGTCGTCATCACCACGCTTATCATGCCCATCGTCGCCGTCGTCATCATCATCACTCTCGGTGTCCGTGGTGGTGGCGGTGTTGTCATTGGCGTGCACACCCTCGCCAATCACAACAACGAAGCTGTCGTCATTCGGGCGAGTGGAGGCCTTTGCCTTTGTCGTTGATGTTGAGCTACCGCCTGCGTGTGCACCTCTGTCGCGCTGTGTACGACCACCATGGCTACTGGTGTTGCGGTCCGTGTGTCCACCAGCACCCACATTGCTGTCATCATGCTCGCTGTTGACACTGTCATCACTGCTGCTGCTGCTGCTGCTGCTGTTGTCGCTGTCAATGCTTACCAACGCCTGCTGCAAGTTCTCTGGCCCTCCACCCGCCTGTTGTCGTTGTCGCTGTCGCCGTGCGGGGCGGTGGTTGTTGCGCAGCCGTGCGTATGACAGCGTGGCCTGCACCACCTGATCCCGCGCCTTGTCCACCTCCGCTTTGCTTCCGTCCGTGAACAGCGACGCCCTGCATGGTTTGCGTGCGTGTGCGTGTGTGTGTGTTGGAGGGAAGGGGGAGAGGGAGGGGTGAGCAGTGGAGATATGGGGCACACAACAACCTACACGCAGCCAATCCCGGACGTGTTCACACACACACACACACACACACACACACACACACACACACACACACACACACACACACACACACACACACACACACACACACGAACACACAACAGAACAAAGCGTGTGTGCATGCTGACCTCCAAAGCCCAAGGGACTCGAGCGAGAGTTTGTGCAGGCAGAGGATTCCAAAGAGGAAAAAGTCTGGGATGAGGTGGACGGCAGAGGGGCGTGGCTGCGATGGGTCACGCTGGATGCCAACCAGAAGCGTGGCAGCATCGCACGAGCGGTGGAAGGACTGGCCCTCGCAGAATGACGAGGGGGCGTTGAAGTCGCCCCAGAACGTGAAGTTGAACATGTACCGCACCATCACTTGCACCTGTTGGAGAGAGGGGAGGGAGGGACGAGAAAATGCCGGTTGGATCAGCAGGGTTGGGTGGGAGTGCGTGAGTGAATAACGTGAGGTAAAGGGCGTGACTTGCCCTGTTGTTGTTCAGTGCACTTCAGTGCAACTCCGCGAATCACAGTAGCCAGTTCTCACTGCTAAAACCAATTCACCATTGATGTCACGACGCAATCACGCACCACGGTGAAGACGAGGGTTGTTGTCCAGAAGAGACGCGACGGCTGCGGGTGGTCCAGCAGACCCCACATGAAGATGAGCAGGGGGTACACGAGCGAGATCAGGTCGGCGTGGGTGAACGGAATGATGGCCATCATCAAGAAGCACGGGATTGCAGTGTGCCGCCGTATGTAGTACAGCAGCTCCTGCAGACCAGATTAGGGAGATGGGAAGAGATCGGAGATGAGAGACGGGGGCACGAATATGAGCACATGCACAGAGAGGAGTGGATGGGAAGGTTTAACACAATACAACACACACATACACAGACAAGTCAAACACATACAAACAAACAAACCAACAAACACACATACAAAGACAAGTCAAACACATACAAACAAACAAACAAACAAACAAATAAATAAATACACACACACACACAAAACAAACAAGCAGACAAATAAACAAACAAACAAACAAACAAACAAACAAACACACAAACACACACACAAACAAACAAACAAACAAACAAACAAGCACAATTGTGCGCACCTTGCCAAACATGCGTGGGGAGACCCTGACGTCTGCGCATGTGCCGGCGAGCAGGATATTTGACGCGGCGGTGCGGCGGCGGCGGCCAAGACGAAGACGACGTCGAAACGTTTCATTGCTGCGATACAACAGCAGAAACGCCTTGGCAACCAAGCCTGGCTGCTTCTTCTTCTTCTTCTTCTTCTCGCCTTCTTCTTCGTCCTTCTTCTTGTCCCTGCTTACACACATGCAAGTGGGAATATCAGCGTGAGTGCAGCCGCGTTTGTCACATGCACGACTAGGTCTGACCTCTTCCACCTCTGCAATTCACATTGCAAAATCAACATGCAGAGCAAATATACACGTGCACATGCACTCACACAAACACACACAAACGCACACACACTCATACAAACGCACTCTCCCACACATACAAATGCACTCGCCCTCACACAAACACACAGATGCGCACTTTGCCTCTTCGTCGTCAGATGCGGCCTTCCCTTCGCCATGTTCCACCTGCTCCGCTTCCTGCTCTGCCTCGCTCACTTCTCCAACCTCGTTCCAATCTTCCTCCGTTGCTTCCGTGAAGTAGTTGTCCCTTTCACTCGTCACCGTCTCCTCTCCCTCGCTCCTCACGACATCACTCCCCCTCGTGCGTTCTCCACCAGCAATAAGATCACCAGCGTGGCCACCATCATCCTCGTCGCTCGCCACACCACGCGCTTCACCACGCGGCGTGCCTGCCCACCTTCCCCGACCACGCCTGCCCGTCTCTTCTTGCGGTTGCTGTTGTTCGCTGCCTGTCCTGTGTCGACTCGGCACGCTTGTCATGCGGAGTGGTGACGGTGCGTGTGATGCCGCTCGCAGCTGTGGGCGCGTCACGCTCTCCGACTCGCCCCTCACAGCACTGCGCCCAACACGCGATGTGCTGCGGGATGCGCGGCCAACACCATCGTCACCGCCACGTGCGCGTGGGTGGCGATACTGGCCAAACGGGGTGAGGTGTGTGCTGGACTGCGAGTCCTGATGGAACTCGAGAATCTCTTGCATTAGCGCATCCCGCACACGCTCGCGGTGAGAGCTTGACGACTGGCTCACCGTTGTCGCCGTGCGGTTGGTGAGCGTGTTCGTGGTTGTGCTCGACTGTGAATGACCTCGTGACCGCCCGCGCTGTCTGCGACGCTCTTGCTGCTCCTGTTGCTGCTGGAGACGACGGTTGCGGTTCTCTTCGAAGAACGCATTGAGGGAGCTGCGTGTGGCCGGGGATGGTGGCTGGCGTGGGCCGAGGTGGCGCCCAGCTCGCTGTTGGCCAGCCGCGGATACACGCCCTTCATCATCGCCATGCGTATCACCACCCACAGTGACGACTTCCAACTCCGCACCGCTCGCATCGCCCTCATCATCGTCATCGCCATCTTCGTTTTCCCTTCGCACGACCACCTCCTCCTCGTCACCACCACCACCACCAGCGCCGACCTCGCTGTCCCCATCCTCCTCATCCTCACCGCTCTCGTCCACAACAGGACCGCCAGCAACAGCTGCAATGACATCATCCTCGTGTGTCCTCTCTTGCTCCTCCTCTTCGCCCTGCTCCAGCGCCTCTGCCAATTCTTCCTTCGCCTCCGTCGTCTCAGGGTCCAGTGCAAGCTCAAGGTCGCCCAGGTCGGCAAAGAACGCGCTCACCACGTCTGGGCTGCCCACCTGCCCGGCGTTGGACTTGTCCGCCAAAATGTCTTGCACGTGCAGGAGTGTCTGCTCAATGCGCTGAATGCGTTCCAAACGCTTCTGCTGGCGATGGGAGGCTTCACGAAGCATGCTCACCTCCAGCCTCGAGCCCCGCAGCTGCCGGCGAATGCGTTTCAAACGCGAATCGCGCACGTGGCGGATGGCTGTCGGCGTGAGCATGATGCGCCGCTGCACAATGGCCACCACCAGGGCGAGAAAGTCAAATAGCAGGCCTTCGTTTGCGGTCCAGATGCCCAGCCGCTCGTCCGTGGGCGTGAGGATGAAGCCCGTGCCGAAGCGCAACCCAAACGCCTGGACAGCGTCGAGTGCCGAGGGGGAGAAGTCGAGGACAACAGCCGGTAGGGACCACAGCAGGCGCAGGGAGATGACGATGAGCACGGCAGAGATCTGCACCTTCCACATGCGCCACATGCGCTCTTTCTCTGTGATGGTGCGGAAGTAGTTGATGAGGAGGTGCGCAAGCACGCCCAAGTACACCAGGCACGTCAGGTCGTTGCGTGTTGCCGTGGCCAGCATGAGAAACAGGCTGTACAGGCCAGGCGACGAGCTGATGGTCCACTTCTTGATCAGCGGGACAATACTGTGTGGAAGCCTCGGCCTCTTTTCCGCCGCTTGGGTTTGTTGTTGCTCGTCACTGTCGCGAGTGGGCGTGGACGCGTCATGAGGGGCCGGTGCGGTTTCCACCAGCGCCAACGCTTTCTCGGACGCGGTACCATCGCCACCCGCTGATTCTGTTGTTGCTGCTGCTGCTGGTGTTGTTGTTGGCGGTTTTGTTGTGGCTGTTGCTGCTGCTGTTGCTGCTGCTGTTGCTGCGGTAGTTGTCGGGTCTTGTGCGTCACTCGCGCGTGTGCGGCGGCTCCTGGTCATGACGCGTCCCATCAGCCCACCAATGCCTCTGCCCCGCACAGATCCGGCACGTGTGTCCTCATCAGCACCAGCAATTGGAGCTGCAGGCGTGGTTGCTCCTCCGTCATGTTTGCTTCCGTCATGCATGCCGGGCAGGGACAGGCGGCCTTTTGCAATCTGCTTCTGCAAGTGCTCGTGTGTACGGCGCGACTGCCTGGCAAGCTGCTTCCGTTGCTCCTTTTCTTTCCGTTCCATCTTCTTCTGCTTCTTCTGCTGCTTCTTCTTCAGCCGCTTTGTTCGCCTCCTCGCCTTCTCCGCCTCCGCGTGTGTGTCCACGGGCGCTGGCAAGCGGTACTTTGGACTCTCCAGTTGCAAGAAGCGCCTGCACAACCACCAAAAAAAAACAAACAAAAAAAAAAAAAAAGGGAGGGGGGTATTGTGTTTTGTTGTGAGTGAGTGAGTGAGTGAGTGAGTGAGTGAGTGAGTGAGTGAGTGAGTGAGTGAGTGAGTGAGTGAGTGAGTGAGTGAGTGAGTGAGTGAGTGAGTGAGTGAGTGAGTGAGTGAGTGAGTGAGTGAGTGAGTGAGTGAGTGAGTGAGTGAGTGAGGGTGTGTGTGTGCGGTCAGAGAGAA